TGGTACGCCCAGTTGGGCCATCGTGTTCCTCTACCTTCTTCCCCGATAGAATTAAATATTTTAAAAAAATGTTTGTTAAATATTTGTAGTGACAGATTTTTCAATAAATAAATGTCTTATATATTTATAAAATATTCATTATAGATGTATGTAGTATATAGGTATAATTCATATATTTTTGCGATATTTTTTCCAAATATTTAGAAAATATATGAGGAAAGATTTTTAAATATCAATTTTATATTTTGATGAAATATCTAATATTTTCAAGCATTAATATTTTCAGTGTCGATAGACAATTCTTCATTGGTTATTTTAGCAAAACCTGTAGGAATGCTTATATAAAATTGGGTTTATAAAGAAAATTCATTCTAGATATAATGGTTTAATTTGCTAGACAAATATTATCAAAAAAACATTCTAAGCCTCTTCAGCATCTTGCAAGTCCACTCCTCTGAAAACAAACAAACTTACTTATTATGAAATACTCGAATTATTGAATACAAAAGCTGCTTTCCAGTGTATTTATTGGTGCTGAGCATGGTGAGTTACTCCGAGTAGCTCGACAGATAAATTAAGCTATGTAATTATCGAAAAACTTACTCTTTTCCCTTTTCCACAAAAAAAACTCAAATAATGAACCACTTGGAGATACACAGGAAGCACGCTATCATATTGAAAGTCACAGGTAAAATGGCTGCCGGCAAAGTCGTGTCAGGCCTACTTGCTATTATCCCATTGGTCGCTCGAGGTCACACGCACATGCGCCGTAGCCGAAACTATTTAATGAATGGTTTCTAAATATTGGAGATTTAATATTTTCCATTGATTGAAAAGTAAATATTTAATGATATTATAAAAGAAATATTGTATTTAAAATATATAAAAGATATTGAATAAATATTTAATAAAAATATTATATTAAATATTTGTTTAAGAAAACAAACATTTAAGTAAGATAAAAATATTATTAAATGTCAGTGCAATTAACACGGCGGCCAATTTCGCGATAGGACAAACCAACATCTCGATGGGCAATAAATCTACCTGTGTCAAAGTCGCTAAAATGGTGATAATTTGGACGGCTTCGAAATCGAGGGATTTTGTTATGCTTAACACTAGTAAATGACAGGGCAATAACTAAAAACATCTGTACAACTCAGCTCCCAGAAACTGCTTCCTTCACAAAAACTAAGGGTTACGATTTTAACAAAGGTAAATAAAAACAAGGATAAAACGTTGACATTGTTGCCACAGCATACTTTAAATATAGTGATCATCTTTGACTAAATTATTTTTTCTGGGTATAACACTTCAAACGTCACTGAGTATACCTGGAAGTATCTTAGGGCAGTCTGCGATTACTAATCATGTTGATGCAATGCAAATCTACAACTCATACTCCTTAAACATTTTCTCGGTATCTCAACCATGTTTCTCACATTAAGTCAACAACCACACGTCTTGAGTACCAACCATATCCCGGGTACTTACGGTATTCGGATTCTCAGTGTCAACTAACAAAATCGGTAATTTTTTGATTTCATATTTCTTATGTTACAAGACTATATGATATGTGATACATATTTGACACGATCAGATTTATACGTTAGGTTCCTAGGGGCAATATGTGGCCAGGGGGTAACACTTAAACTACGAAAAAAGATACTTGAAACGTGATATAAATATCATTAGCTAATTAAGTTCAATAGTTATTTTTTAAGAAGCTGAGAAATAAGAAAATCAGAAAAAATAATTGAAATGAAAATTGCCAGAGAAGTGATCCCAAGGAAGAGACAAAAACGTAGACCTCGGAAAATTAGGATGCATCAATTCGTCACTGAGATTCACAAAGACTAGCCGCTATATCCGGCTTAATTGAAAAACCAGATAGTATCTTGCCCTTTTTCTCATCTTGCTTCTCAAGCAGGTCTTGATCTGAAGCTGTACTGACTGGAACTGTGAGCAAGATTTTAATTGTTGTGTAAACACTTGGAATTATTTTCTTATGGCCATTTTTGCTTTGACCTTTACACAGCACATTTAACTTTCTCTGCCACTATGTGGTATCTGATTATGTTTGATTTTGTTGTAGGTTTGGATAGTTTTGGATTTGTGGTTTAAACAGTGGAGGAACTAAACGTGGAGGAACTAATCGACTTTTACTGTCGCTGACCAAAAGCTAGTTATGTACTGGCTCATTAAGCTCATTTCTTTTACACACCAAAAAATACATCGATATTTTGATGATTACGATGTTTGCATCCCTAAACAGATACAATTGACGACACGGGGTTTCCGAGAGTATAGCGAGCGGTATAGTTTTTTCAAGTTGACACCGAAGCAGCCATGCAGGCAGTAGCCTGAATGCCATGACCCCGTGGCTGCTATGAGGAGCTTAAAGAAACTGTGTTAATCCGATTTTTGAATTGCCTAAGATTAGTAGAACTGGGAGAAGCATTCTCATGGAGATTGTTCCACAATCTCGATACCCTAGAGACAAAGAAACGGTCTTATCGACCAGATCTGGATGTACTAAGCTTGGCACAGTCAGCACCCCAAGCATGTAACCAGGAATCGGGCCTAGGTCTTATCTGCGCCTTGTACATAGCATGTGGAAAAAAGTAATTCTTAGCCCTAAACAATTAGCCTAGCTTTTTTTCAGCAGCTGCCATTATTCACGAAATGATTTCGTGTCAAAAATGGCCAAAAATAGCTTATCATTATAATTTTCTTGCGAGACCCCCTTTGGCCTATGACTATCAGCAGTCGCCGACGCCTAACGCCGCCGCTCCTCCCTCCAAGTTGCACATCTTCCTGATCATGAATGCTCTTCTCCCCTACAAAAATGTTTTCTAAATACGCCAGTGCTTTTGAGCCATTATGCAAAAGTCAACTTCATTTTTGAATCTTCTTGCGCTAAATAACAACGCTGGACCACTGTGCAACTGTGCATAGGTTTATTGGGGATCGATGAAGTATCGAAGCATAAAAGGAAAATATATTCTTGATCGTTTGTGATACGATCTGTCATTATTACAAAGGAGGGGGCACGAACGTTACCGATACCAGTCCCCGGTGAATGTTACTCAAACTTTTTCTCCAGAGCATCCTGACTAAGGGTTCTCGTTGCCTCTTAGCAATCCTATGAAACGTTTCTATGATATACAGGGCGTCCCGAACATGCAAGAACAAAGTACTGCTCCTGAATTATAACTTATCATAGAAAACTATTTAGGGTTATTACACATGGTATTCGAGGTCAGATTTCCAAATAACTCACAATCAGAAAGGGTGTTCCAATTTTGCCCCACATCAAAAATATTTTTTTAATTGGAAGGCCGTATTTCACGCTGGGACAACCTGCATATCCGCTGCCTTGAAAGTTTGCATTAGAGTAGACATACAATAGGTTAACATACCGATAAAAAGAAAACATAGGCAGTTACAATTTTGACCTCAAGGTCATGTCAAGGCCAAGTCACCTGTTTGTCAATGAGACGCTGTATTTTCGACTGCGGAAACGAAAAAAGTAGAAAATTCCACCTTAATCTACAATAGTCGAAAGGCCCATCGCTATTGCCATTTGCTTTGTTTATTTTGAGTCAAGTGGCAGGAGAGATGCAAGGGTGATAAGTCTAAGCTGTGAGTGGAGCACAGTGGATACCGCGCCCGGAGTCTGGATGGTACATCAATTCCGCGCCTATTTATTGTTGGTATTTCCAATAACTGTAATAATTCGCCTACTATTCTACTGAAAACAATTGTCCAAGCGATACCAACAATTGGTTTAACAATACACTTGTATACATAATACACACATGCACCTATACAAATTCGTACACATGGTGCCAGAAACTCATTACGTCCTCGCTGTTGGCCCTGGGCGGCAGTGAAAATGTATAATATTGAACAAGCTATATTGGAATAGAAATGCTATATCAGTGAACTGAAAACTTACTCCTATTGGAGCATCATGGATAGCTCCCCATTGATCGACTTTTATGACGTCCGGTATCTCCAGTCATAAAAGTCCCATTCAAATTAGTTCACTTGGCCATGACGTGGTCTTGAAGGCAATAATAATATCATAAAAAAATATAATAGTAAAATTATAAGAATACATTTAAATTTGATATTAAGACTTCAAGCGCATACACAAAAAAGTATTTGTTTATCTAGGAGGTGATCTTTCAAATAAAAATATTTAATTTGGATTTTTCGATAAGAATGTGCATATTATTCTTTAGCAAATTATATTTCGTTTTTGGGCTGAAAAGGATAACTCTAGTTTTTTCAACGTTAAGTTTAAAACCACTGTGCTTCGCATAATGTGAAATTTCACTTAAATCATTATTGATTAGAGAAGCTGAATATTCAAAATTTTGGGGATTAAAAGATAAACGCATCTGTGTATCGTCAGCGTATGTCATAACATTAATTACTTAAATTATGTCTGACGTATATATGGTAAAGAGCAGAGGCCCTAGAACAGAGCCTTGCGGTCTCCAGATGTAACATCTCTTAGTCTTGAAGAGTCATTTCCTAAAACCACTCTCTGGGATCTACCAGTACTATACGATCGAAAGAAATTCAAACCTGACTCACATAGTCCTGAATATTTTAGCTTTGACATTGAAAGATCATGATTAATTTTATCGAAAGCTTTAGAAATGTCGAGGAGTAACAGAACACTAGCATTACCCCTGTCTGCAGCGGTGGTAGTTGTTTGTGCTGAATCCAGATTGTTGATAAAGAATTATATCGTTTTCAGGCAAGTTTTTTTCAGCTGGAAGGAAATGATTTTTTCAAGGAGTTCGCATAGTACGGGTAGTAAACTAATCGGTCTTAGGTCACTGTATGACTCTGGTAAAGAAATTTTTGGAACAGGAAGGATCAGTGATTCTTTCTATGAATTTGGAAAAAACATTGATTCAAGATGTGTGTGATATGAGATTTGATCACTTGAAAACATAATTTAATTATTTTGGTTTTAATAGCATCACTTCCAAAATCTATTATTGGCAAAGGTCATGGCTCAATGTAGATGTTTCAATGAGGAATGTTCCACTCTTTTTATTTCGCTAATCAAAAAGGAGTATCTCGTCGAAAAAGGTAAATTGACCTTGAAGGTTATGGCCTTAGTCAAATCTGCGAAATTCTAAATACATGTTTTCTTTTCATCAATATATTAACATATATGCCTAAACTAATGCAAACTGTCAAGATAGCAGGGACGCAGGTTGTCAAATATTAGTTTTTTTTAGATAAAATACCAAATAGTCCAATAACTAATAAAAACACTCATAAGCATGTCATATCAATCTTCTAGGATCTATCCAAGTGTGTCATAATAAGTTAGGCCTTACATTTAAAATAAAATATTTGATGAGAACCAAAATTGGGACACCCTGTATAATTCTGTATTAAGAAATGTGTCCTCGGATAAGATGTATAATAACCCATGAATTGTTTCCTTGGTTAAGCTTTTATTTGGGAGCAATTCTCTGTCCTTGCATGTTTGGGATGCCCTGTTTACCATGGAAACGCTTCGTAGGATTGCTAAGAGCCTATGAGAACTTTTGATCAGGATGCTCTAAAGAGCTTATTCCCAAAGTTTGAGCAAGATTCACTATGGACTGATTTCAGTAAGGTTTGTGCCCCCTCCTGTGGTTCTCAAGATCGCACCACGCGAAATACCTCAAACGCCTATTCAGCGCAGTCATATTTTCCAGAACGTTCTGAACCAATTAGACAATTAGACTAATACCCACCCATTTGCTAATACTAATTGCACCAAAAACCACCCCCACCAATTAATGAATTATCACATTAGCGCACCCTGTTATGGTAGCGATACCATCACCACAGTGATACCCGTCATCTCACCGATCACCGATATTCGGAATGCCGGCAAAGGGAAGCAGCAGTGCAGGGCGTTAAAAGGCATTTCGAAATGATCAGCCAAATGCCGAAATTACTAACTTCACGGAGATTCCCTTTAATCTTTGGAATGCCGACCACCGACTGGCTGTTTCTTCTCACTGGGCCACTGGCGGAGCAGCGGATTATTTGTGGTTAAGTGATTAGGATAAGTTTTGTTGACTGCGAAGAATTTTTAAGGAGAGATGGAAGGTCGAGTTCTACTAAAGATCCATTCCTTTAAGCTGATCGAAAACCAGATCACCGACGACTTGATCTGGTTTGAACAAATCTCGTCAATAACGCCAGCTGCTGGAAAAAGCTAGGCATTTGTTTAGGACTAAGAAGAACTTTACTTTTCTCCACGTAACCTCCTCACTTTGTACAATGCCCAGATAAGACGTAGCATCGAATACGGCTCACATGTTTGAGGTGCTGACGCCCTGTCTAAATTAGTTATGCTACATGCTGTACAGAGGAGGGCTGTCCGATTGATTGATGACACTTGTCTAGCTGACAGTCTTGAAACCATTTCGTAGTGGCAGACCGTCGGCGATCTAGCTCTATTCTACCGCTACGCCTACGTGATTTGCTCCTCTCCATTAAGCCTGCAAGACAGACTCGTCTGACTTCGGCCTCCCATCCTTGTCAAACTTCGTAGATCCAAAACAGGCTGACAAAACCGCTCCTTGGTCACTAGGGAACAATCTACCTGAAGAGGCTTTTTCCAGTTCGGTTGTAGGAATTGGAATAGCAAACATTCTTTAAGCCCCCCATAGCAGCCACGGTGCCCTAGTATTTAAGCGCCTATGCGTCTGCTTCAGAATAAAAAATCATGTATAGCATCTAGGTCTCTGGTATCTTTACTATCCGCTGGCCATGTCATAGGATGTCTACGGGGTGTTCCTTAATGATATGAGAATATTTAAGGGTGTGAATCTACATGAAAAATTAATATTAGTTTGCTCTATAAACTATGGTCCAAAAATGTTTTCTTACAAAAACTCGGGGTGTTGAAGTTTCAGGAAGAAAATGGAAATTAATTAATATTTCCAGAACCGCTTCAGATTTTTCACTGATATTTAGTACGTAGTGAAAGTTAATAAAGTTGCATGTTTTTCAATGCAAATTTAATTTTTAGTTTCAACAGTGGCGTACGTACGGCTATTGACTTCGATATTTAAAAAAAACGGTACGCCAATGGTTTTTTGCCAAATTAAAATTTAAAACAAATGATCTCTCTTGAGTTGCTTTCCTTCGATGCGCCATTTTTGAGTTAAAAAACAAAAACCGTTCTATTGTCCAAGAAAATTAATGTAATAATTGAAGAATGCAATTTAGCAATAAATATCTAGTTGCTCTGGAGTATGTCACCGGCTTTTGACAAACACTGTTATTCAAATCTGTTCGCTGTGACATCTTTTTCATTATTTAGTTTTTACAATCTTGTTAATAATGGTGAGTTATTCAAATTCAGAAATGGCGGAAATGCATTACGTATGTGGCCTTGCCGACGGTAATGGTGAGCAAGCCAGACGGATTTATCGCCAGACATATCCCGATCGTGCTTTGCCAGATAGTTGAACTTTTTCTATTCATTCCTCTATTCAACGTCGTCTTGTTGAAACTGGTTCTGTCCGAAAAGGAACATCTGAAGGTAGACCTCTAAGTGTGGGAACACCTGAAATTGAGGAAGCAGTGCTGCTGCACGAAGTCGAAGAACATCCTGAAACGAGTACGAGGAAGATCGCTAGACACTTAAATATTTGCCATCAAATTGTTTGGAGAATTTTATATAATTCAAGAGTTCAGGCATTACTTCCCATTGATTTTCCAAGGCGTGTGACCTTTAGTCAGTGGTATCTCCAGAAAATTACACAAAGTCCGCAATTTGAATCAACGATTCTGTTGACGGACGAAGCTAATTTTTTCGAAATGACATTCAGAATTTCCACAATAATCATTTGTGGGCAGAAAAAAATCCCTATGCCGTAACCAAAACCCATTTCCAGCACCAATTTTCGGTTAACGTATGGGCAGGAATTATAGGCAACCACTTTATTGGCCCATTCTTCTTGCCGAGACGACTTGACGGACAGACTTACCTCAATTTTCTTCAACAACAGCTGCTTTTGCTACTTGATGATGTTCCTTTAGTAATGAGAAACAATATGTGGTACATGCATGATGGTGCACCAGCGCATTTCAGTGTAGCGGGTCGTAATTATTTACAAACTGTTTATCCAAATCGTTGGATTGGCCGCGGTGGGGGCTCCCAGAATGGCCACCAAGGTCCCCAGACCTCAACAGTTTAGATTTCTTTTTGTGGGGCTATCTTAAGACACTAGTGTACACAAGTCTCATTAACATTGTAGAGGAATTAAGAGAAAGAATAGTTGTAGCTTGTGATAGAATAAAAAATACTCCAGGGATATTTCAACATGCGCGCAATTCCATGAGAAGGAGGGCGGAAGCATGCATACTAAGTTAAGGGAGCCATTTTCAACAATTTTTGTAATCATTTCGTTGGTTTTAATGTTATGTTTATGTTGTCAGTTGCTGTTGTTCATTACCCCTAATGTGTTTAATTCTTCCAATTAAATTAATAATAATTTTGCAAGCTAGACGGTTTTAATTTTTTTAATCAAAAATCAAAAATGGCGCACCGAAGAAAACAATTCAAGAAAAATCGTTTGTTTTAAATTGAATGGTAAATTCAAAAATATTTTTTATTTGGCAAAAAACTATTGGCGTACCAGTTTTTTCTTAAAAAATATTGAAGTCAATACCCGTACGCATGCCACTGTTGAAGCTAACAATTATTTTTGCATTGAAAAATATGCAACTTTATTAACTTCCACTATGTACTAAATACCAGTGAAATATCTGAAGCGGTTCTGAAAATATTAATTGATTTCTATTTGTTTTTCCTAAAACTTCACCAACCCGAGTTTTTGTAAGGAATCATTTTTGGACCATAGTTTATAAAGCAAGCTAACATTAATTTTTCATTTAGATTCACGCCCTTAAATATTCGCATATCATTAAGGAAGGTATAATTAAAGTGTTAATTGAACATATTTTCGAAATAATCAGATCCGGCTATACAAATACATGGTGCAGAATATCTTGACAAATTTGTACGCCTTGGTATCATTAATCGTTGCGCGTCGTTAATGACCACAATGACACTGAGAATTGGGCATCGCAGACGTGGCTGAATTCGGACCGGACCCACCGCAGGTATAGGATATCGCGTATTCCTGGATACCTGATGCTGCTGGAGTATCAGACGTAAATTGTATGCGAAATGCCGTATTGTGTTTTATAGGTGGAATCATACTTTTTTGGATAATAAAGCAACTTTCATGGATACCATTATATGCATTCATAACCCTTTACAAGCCTCAACCTCACAACTTTTCTGAAAATGACTAAGAGATTCTTAAAAGGTAAAAAGCGAAGTATGAGGCTTTTTTATTTTTTACCCGGGGTCCGTTGCCACTGAACAGATTTCTAAAAACTACAAAGTTTTTTCGTTGTTGGCATAGTAGAAACCTTGTCTGAAAGTTTTATCAAAATCCGACCAGTACTGTCCAAGTTATAGCGTTGCCAAGGATTGGCGAACACACAGATAGGCGGAAATGAGAGACATACTTTTTCTTGTTGCACATCCAAATAATTAAAAAATAAACAAACAATATACTGACATCCGATCCTACTTCTCACTTTAACACAACAGAATGTGTCGAATGAGTATAATGAGCTACCCGGTGTTTAGATTTTCTGTTGCCGCTGGATATACAGATGACACTGCAAAGCACAATATTTTAGGTTATCTTTTATAAGTGCATGGAGGGGGGTTACGTACTTAGTGATTCAAGTGATAAAATAGGGAGGCCAAAGAATTTCATAGGACACTGCGATTGTGAAATGAGATTGTCATACCTGTACATTTACATCTTAGTAGCCCCTGTTGCAGAACTGGAACTCCAGCCCCTCCTAACTAAAACTTGTCAAAGTCAACAAAAAATGTTATTGTTGTAAGAATAACAGTCGTTTCATCTTTGACGTTTTCAGTGAAGCTCTCACAGCTTAGATATTGAGTTGCGCATGATACAGTGGCGAAATAAATAAACAGACTTTTTATCTGCGCTCATAAAACTCTAAGACTATCAGTTTTTTTTTAAATT